AGAAAACAAAGGAGAAAACCAGGCGATGGGTTTGGGATGAAGAGAGGCATCTCGGGTCCCAGTCTTGAAAGACTTTATTCCCCGAGTAACTCAGGGCCAGGCTCCTCCCCAAGGACAATGCATCCTGAAGGTGAGCTCCTTTCCTTCACACCCACAATTGTGCCGGCGCTGTCCCTGCCCTGAAACGACACCAGCTGAGTCTCCCAAAATGGCGCCCTGCATGGAGTGCATAGCTGAGTCAGCCCCCGGGGATCCTCCTTTGCCCCTTCCTGGGAGGTCTCCTCATTCTCTTCTCCCAAGCCCTGCTCCCCACCATTCTCCTTCTTCCTCACCCGCCTCCTCTGAGAAGACAACTATTTCCTTCACGTCACCGTAGATTAGACGGCCGAGCCCCCGCGGGGAAACCCAACACTAGCCAACACCAATACCAACCTACTGGTGTTTCCTTCTCTGGGTTCTTGGTCTCCGCTTCTAATTTAACATCAGGGACCCGGGTAAGAAGCAACGCTTTCCCCATCAGCCCCCTCTGGAGAATGTCAGACCCGTCACTTAAACGGTAACAGCAGCTCACAGCATGCAGCACGATGAGACTCTTGACTCTACAATTGACTTTACAATTGTCAGCTCTTTACAATGACTGAGCTTATAAGTCAAGAAGATATTTCTTCCCCAAGCAGAGAAAGCATCCTTGCAAGGAATAGCTTCACGTGCATCCCTTTCTGCTAATCTCATTCCCTTGCACCTGCAACAATACTGTTCTCAGAAAAGCACCTCGGGGCGCCTGGGTGGCTCAGTCGGTTTAGCAACTGACTTCGGCTCAGGTCACGATCTCGTGATTCGTGAGTTCGAGCTCCATGTTGGGGCTCTGTGCTGACAGCTCGGAGCCTGGAGCTGCTTCGGATTCTGTGTCTCCCTCTTCTCTCTCCCCGCCCCACCCAGGCGCCCCCAGAGAAATCTTCTTATTTACCCAAGCCTTCAAAGGGAAATATTGAATCACACATCCTCCCATAAGGAGCAAACTTGAATTCCCAAGTCGGGATGCCCTTTGCATAAAGGAAAGAACCATTTCCTTCATGTCACCACAGTTTACAGGACTGAGTCCCTCTGGGTAAAGCCAACACTGAATAGTACTTGCAGAACAGGCATTTTCTTTCCCCTTGCTCTTCACCCCTGTCCATTGCTTCCCTCCTAACCTCCAGCAAACAGGTGGCCTGCGGAACCTCATTACCCAAATGGACTCTGTTTGCTCCGACCTATTTCCCTTCCTGCAGAAAAACACAGAGGAAGCTTGCCAGTCTGTCCTTCCAAAGATGCACTTGGGTTTCCAATGGAAGACGACCCCTGAGGCTCAGATTGGGGACTTATCATTCTCTCAGCTGGACACGTGATAAAACCACGCTCTTGCCCGTGGATCTGGCAGTTCAGAGGCTGCGCCCTTGGGCACATGGCACACAACAAGATCACCAAAGTTTGGAAAATGTGTCCAACTCAGTAAAACACATTTTCAGTTTTTGGCATGAAAAGGAACCCACTCATTAGCTCCTTTTATACCACCATCGCAGTGGTTAGAAAAGAATCTCAAGACCTTCTAAGGCGGTGGTTTTCAAAGGGGGTCCCTGGGCCCGTAGCATCAGACCCCTGGGAAGTTGTGCCAGATACAGACCATGATGACCAATGCAAATTTCCGGACCCACGGAATCAAAACCTCTATGTTCACAGGCCCCCAGGGTGTTTCAGACACACAGTGAAGTCTGAGAACCACCGCGCTGGGGGCGCCTTTCTCATAAGTAGGCTAATAGCCTCTTTGGTGTCTGGTTTCTGGAATCACGGCCATGTTGAAACCAACCACAATGAGCAGAAGCCGCTCTCCAGATAATGACTCTGACGTCCGTGTGTCTGGTGAGATGAAGCAACCCAGACTGCCAGCGGGGAGCAGATTCCCAGGGAAAAGATAAATGACCTCTCTTCGAATCCCGAGGCAAATCAAATTGCTTCTTCCGTATAAAATATCATCTTGAAAGTGATGGGTTTGCCTTGCGCTTGTCTGTGAGGACATTTGGGATGACAGAGGAAAAATGGCCACCCCCGTAGCGTGTTTACTCTCCAGGTGAGCTGACGGAGCCTGCAGGCTGGCTCACCCTCTCCCTTGGTGTGGTCACCCTAACTCCAGTCCCTCCTTTTAAATGGATAATGGTGGGTACATACCCAATAAAAATGAAATACGGGCCTCAAAGAGATATCTGCACTCCTAGGCTCTCTGCACCATTATTCACAACAGCCACGATACAAAAGCACAGTGTCTATTGACAGGTGACTGGATCAAGAAATCACGGTCTAGGGGCACCCAGGAGGCTCAGTCGGTTAAGCGGCCAACCTCAGCTCAGGTCATGAACTCGCGGTTCATGGGTTCCAGCCCCGCGTCGGGCTCTGGGCTGACAGCTCGGAGCCTGGAGCCTGTTTCAGATTCTGTCTCCCTCTCTCTCTGCCTCTCTCCCGTTCACGGTCTCTCTGTCTTTCCAAAATAAATAAACATTAAAAAAGTTAAAAAAAGAAAGAGATTATGGTCTAAATACACAATGGGCTAGTATTATTCAGCCTTAAAAAATAAGGAAGTCCCGCCATTTTCAACAATACGGATGAAACTGGAGGGTGGTATGCTAAGAGGAATAAACCAGACACAGAAAGACAGCTACTGCGTGATGCCACTGACATGCGGGATCTAAAAGCGTTGAATGCGTAGAAGCAGAGGGTAGGACGGCAGTTTTCAGGAGCTGAGGGGTGCGGGAAATGGGCATGCTGGTAAAGGATATGATGTTTCACTGTGTATGTTGCAGAAGCTCTGAAGATTTAATAGACAGCATGGCGCCTATAATTAATAAAAGTGCACTGAATATTACAAATTTGTCAGGAGAACAGATCTCAGGTGCTCTCACCACACACACAAAAATAATAACTATGGCTGGGGCGCCTGGGTGGCTTAGTCGGTTGAGCGTCCGGCTTTCACTTAGGTCATGATCTCGCGGTTCGTGGGTTCGAGCCCCGCGTCGGGCTCTGTGCTGACTGCCAGCTCGGAGCCTGGAGCCTGTTTCAGAGTCTGTGACTCCCTCTCTCTCTGACCCTCCCCTGCTCACTCTGTCTCTCTCTCCTAGAAATAAATAAAAAACTTTAAAAAAAAAAATTTAAGAAAAAAAAATAACTATGGGGGTAGATGGGAATGCTAAGTGTCTTAACTGTAATCACCATTTCACTGTGTACATGTCTACGAAAACATGTGAAACCCCTTAAATACATATAATTTTATTTTAACAAGAGGAACAAAAATATTTAATACCTAAAAAAACACAGTGAGTGAAGAGGTATCACTTGACTTTGGATCGGAATTCAAAAAGCACATCAACTTAGTGTTTTGTTCAACTTCTCTCCCCAACATTGCATGGAAAACCCACCACTTGGCCCTGGGCCACTTTGTAGACATGATTCCAATGTTAGCTCTACACTCATCTTTGGCTCCTTTCTCAAGGGGCACTGAGGAAAGTTAACCTTCCACCAAATGGGGCTTTCAGAAAGCTAAATTATTCCTTCGGTTCTGCTCAAAACACCCTCGAGTAGAAGCCATTAAGACGTATATGTCTTTGGAGATTTTAGCCCACGGAAACAAATGTGCAGATACACAGTGTGTGACACATTCATATATTTTGTTTTATTACCTGGAAAACTTGTACCAAAATGTATGTCACGGAAGAGACCTTCGAAATTCTGAAATTCTAAGAACATTTTCCCTGGAGCTGGAGTCAAAGTTAACATACGACTTAATAAGAAAAGAAAAGAATCCTACAATACTTTTCTGCGAAAATCAGCTGATGGTGAGGAATTGCCGGACGTTTGTAAACCGAGGCAGAGTCTATGCTTAGTTCTACATTCACTAATTACTCGACGTGTATGGAAATCCATACTATCCTACACGATGGTTTTTTCCCCCGAAATAATCAAGGAGCTGAGAACCTCACTTATGATTTTTTGTTTCGTTGAGTATAAAAGGAATACTACAAAGAAACATGACATGTTTAGCATAATGATGTGTCATCATGTGTTTAAATTCAACCTAACGGGTTTTTTTCTTTTTTCTACTCTGAAAATTAAGACACAGACATCCGAGGTGAACGCTGACATCCCGAGGTGCCTCGGGCCTCGTCTCAGTAAATTACAGCCCCAAAATGTCCATATCTTACCCCATACTACAAATGGAAAAGATGCTGCTTACTATGTGACTTCCAAGTGCACCCACCTTACATATGTCATTTCATTCAATAATAAACGATTTGTGTATCAAGGTACTTGATATCTTCGGTTACTGTCAGAAGTACATGGGTCACATCTGATCCACACCTGAAGGGGTTGGGGCTCTCCAGGAGTGAAGTGTAACAGACTGGCTTCCCAGACTACTGGAGCACAGAGCACTTCGTTGGCGATGGGGGAACAGTTTCACAAAATGTACACCCTCAAAGTCTGGACGTCATAATATTGAAGGATGCCTCAATCTCTAAAATGTTGTCTCTTTCAACCCAGCTACTTAAATGTATTCTGCAAACCTTTAAAAGATTCGAGGTAATTCTTCATTGGTACAGCCACTGAGACAGAAAAGGGAAATGTATTCTGGGAAAGAAATTGATATTTCTTTAAATCGGCAACACGGACAAAAGGAGCCGACTATGAAGGGCCTCTCATTGGGTACCTTTGCATGAGAGCATTCTTCTGCAAATGAAAGAGCCGTCCGTCTCCAACAAAAGTGGGTTCAAGGAAATTTTTTAGGTCATTCTACACAGAGAGACAGGAAAAACGTGGTGTGATGTGTGGTGAATTTCTGCAGCATTTCAGAAAAGCATAATAGCCTCACTTGATATTGTAGTTAACTGGTCTCATCCTAGTTAACTGTAGTTATTGAAACTATTGCCGCTATTAACCCTCTCCACAACAGGACATACGATTTCGACTTCTGCGGGGCTGCTGGCTAGCTCAGTTGGTAGAGCGTGTGGCTGTTGATCTCAAGGCCATGAGTTCAAGCCTCGTGCTGAGCACAGAGACTACTTTAAAAAATATTTTAAAAAATAATTAGTTTTTTCGACTTCTGAGCACTTGCTTAACAATGAGATTGCTCTGGCATACACAAGCAAAAATAAGTGAAGAAACAAACAAATGGGGCACCTGGTGGCTCAGTCGGTTGAGCCAACGACTTCGGCTCAGGTCATGATCTCACGGTTCGTGGGTTCGAGCCCCACGTCGGGCTCTGTGCTGACAGCTCGGAGCCTGGAGCCTGTTTTAGATTCTGTGTCTCCCTCTCTCTCTGACCCTCCCCCGCTCACGCTCACTCTCTCTCTGTCTCTCAAAAATGAATAAACATTAAAAAATTTAAAAAAGAAGAAACAAACAGATGAAAACCAAACATCTATGGGGGAAGAGGGCTGACCGCCTTGGCTGGGAATCACCCACGTGCCCTTTTCATCCACGAGGACTCAGTTCACCTGTCTCCACTCTGCTCCAAGCTCCCGGACACTTCCTTGGACCAAAGTATTCCCTTAGCTCTTGTTTCCAGTCCATCAGAAGGCTGGGGTACACCGGCGGAAGGCAGGGGTGAGAACGAAGAGGGGAATTAGCCCCTCCCTCCGTGCCCAGTGCCCTTGCCCAGGCAACCCTTCCACGCCTCAAGATTGTTAGTTAGTTCCTCCTGGTCCTTTATGAGTCACATTCAAGCCCTCTTGACTCGGATTCCCTACGTCCTTCCCACACCCTTGAAACCGGTTCTTCTTATAACCCATCCTCGAGTCGCAAAACCTGAACATATCATGTGTCCCCGACCAGGACGCGGTCTTACCCTACGCGTCTTTTGGAAGGAATTCTGGAGGGTGATTCAACTTTGCAGACCCAGGCTAAGCTCCACGATCAATCCTCTGTAACACGAAACTAATCTCCTGCCAGCAGAGTCATTTTCTGCTGTATTAGTAAGTCTGTTGACAGCGCTTTCTTTTTATCTAAACGGCAATTGAAATGCTGGGTTATTTGAGATGATGTCTAAAGAACGTTTTGATTCATAATGACTTACAGGAAACGCTTCGATGAACGTACTTACTGTTTGATGGGCTAAGACCGCCTGGGCATTATTTCCGTGCTGTACGAGACCAACCATTATGAATATAATTGATAGGACAGCGCTCACTGCCGGAATAAAGGTCCTCTATACTCATGCTCCCACGGTTACTTTGCTTACAGTGGGTCAAAGGTAGGGACATGAAAGTTTTTAAGAGGAACAAGAACACTTAGAAAGACCGTCACTGTGTGTAGGAAGAGACATACAGGACTGGACAAATTTAAACAAAGGTAAGGAACACAGGTGCTTTGATTCCCTGTTGTCAGAGAAGGAGCATTCCTACCTAGAGAAGCTTATTTAAGAAAACAAACTTACGCAATGATGAAGTAAACAGTTTCTCGTTCCCTCATGCAATGAACACTAACATGACCCAGCCTTTAATTGATGTTATAGCTGACATTGATCTTGGCATAGGACTATAGCATTATGAAGGCACCTCACTGCAGGTATAAAGACGGGGGTGGAAGGTAGTGAAAGAAGAAAGGTGCATTTAAGAACAAAATTCCTTCTACAGTATGAATGTAGCATAAGCAAAGTGTGACATGTTGGTGTGATAGCACCAGTTTCATGTTATATAGAAAATATATCATTGAGTATTATCAACACGGCTTGGGAATTCCCCAAACGGCCTAGATGTCAACTTAACATACAAAGGAAACGGTTGCCTTTTAGGTCCAGAATCACAATTGGAATTTGGGTAGGAAAAAAGAAATACAAAGCCCGCTCCATGACGTGTTTCTGAAACTCACCCTCACGCTTTTCCTGATACACAGTCATACGTTCCTATCTGAGGTCCTCAGTTCTCTTCCAAGAGCCCGGCGTCGGCTGCTTCAGGGCTGCCAACCTAAAATAACCAACCAGAAGACGAGAAAGAGAAGAGTTCAGAGACAACATTCAACCGATTCTAGATGAAGTTAAAACTTACGGAGACCATCACGTCGTTGCTCATTTTCAGACTCAGATTCTTTGCCTAACCAGGTCACTCAGTCACTCTGTGAACCATCAGGATGTAATAAATGGCAATAAGAATTAGTGAGGGACTTTATTAAAGTGGATGGATACAAAGAATCCTCTCCCTCCAAGTCCTTGGCTCTCGGCTTTCCATTTTCTCTTCCACCCCTTGGCCACTAAACCAGAAGGAACATGGGTGACTCAGTGCATGCTTGTGTGGGAGTCCAGGAGCCTTGGGACCCTTCCACAGCCTACTGAGCTCTGGGAAACCAAGAGCGGGCGAGAGTGTACTAGAAATAAGTCAGGTATAACAACTCCAGGCAGGGGAGAGAAATGCAGTGGGATGTACACGAATGCTGAATTTCAAATACAAGGAGGTAGGGATCCCAGGTCAAAATGCAGGCAGCGGAAGGAGCAAAATGAAGATGAAAACGGGCAGATGACAGAGAAAAACGGAAGCCAAGGCTCAGCATCGGAACCAGACGCCTGTTGGGAAGGAGGTGAAGACGGAAGAAGTGTAGGACAGATAGACCCTGGCTGCGGATCTTTGTCTTCCAGTGAAAATGGAATCTATTGGTTAATCAAAAATGAATGATTGATTTCAAGATAGTGGAAGATCACACACAAAATTCTAGGGGAACTGTTCAGCTAGGCTTTCTTAGAAAAACACCAGTGTAGGTGGAGTAACCTGAAATCAGCCAGAGAAAACAAAAAACGTGGGCTCCTCAACATGTAAATGATCTCTTGCTTTATTTTTCTTTGTCATTTAAAAAACAGTAATGCTATACTCCAAGGAAAAATGGACAGTAGGAAGAAAACAAGTATTGAAACTCAACATATTAAAAATGAAATCTTCCCAAGTGATGATTTTCAATCTCCAAAGCCATGGGCACATGATTCTGTCTAAAAGGCAGCCAAGTTCACCAAATAGAGAAAGTTTTGGCAAATGTTTTTTGAAAAGTTGAAAGAGTCCAATGCCTTGGCCTTCATGAGCCACAGGATCTTGTTTGAAAATACTGAACTCTAGAAAAGGAAAGACTGAATTCTGTCATTGTAGAATTCTGTCATTGTAGCAGGAAAAAAACACAGACACTGCCAACATGCAAATAAATGCATATGGCTGTGTACAAATAAAAGTGTACTTATGAAAGCAAGGGTCGCCTGGGTGGCTCAGTCGGTTAAGCGTCCCACTTCGGCTCAGGTCATGATCTCATGGTTCGTGGGTTCGAACCTTGCGCCGGGCTCTGTGCTGACAGCTCGGAGCCTCGAGCCTGTTTCAGATTCTGTATCTCCCTTTCTCTCTGACCCTCCCCTGCTCACGCTGTCTCTCTCTCTCTCAGGGAAACAAAATTATAAAAGCACACAGTGGTCTAGATTTGGCCTTCAGTCCGCGAATGGCTGAGACCTGGAGTGGAGCTATGCAGTGGTTTCTAGGAGCCGATGCAGCGATGACATCTCATTTGAATCATCCTTTCCCCAAATTCTCAAAGCAGGTGTCTGTGTGCACGCCTCACCTTTACCATAAATCTATTTAAATTCTTTTATACATATATATATATATATATATATATATATTTTTTATTTCTAGGAGAGAGAGACAGCGTGAGCAGGGGAGGGTCAGAAAGAGAGGGAGACACAGACTCTGAAATAGGCTCCGGGCTCTGGGCTGGCAGTCAGCACAGAGCCCGACGCGGGGCTCGAAGCCACGAACCGCGAGATCATGACCTGAGTGAAAGTCGGACGCTTAACCGACTAAGCCACCCGGGCGCCCCCCTAAATGCCATTTTTAATACCAAAAGTCATTTACAGATCCAATCCAATCCCTATCCAAATAAATATACTTAAAAAAATAAGTAAATAAAAAATAAAAATGCATTAGTGGGCACCTGGCTGGCCCTGTCAGTGGAGCATGAGACTATTTTTTATTTTTTATTTATTTATTTCTAGGAGAGAGAGAGAGAGAGAGACAGCATGAGCAGGGGAGGGTCAGAGAGAGAGGGAGACACAGACTCTGAAACAGGCTCCAGGATCTGAGCAAGCAGTCAGCACAGAGCCCAAAGCGGGGCTAAAACCCACAAACAGAGAGATCATGACCTAAGAGAAAGTCGGACGCTCAACCGACTAAGCCACCCAGGCGCCCCAATCTATTTAAATTCTTAATGAGGAAGGTTCTGGAGACTCTCCCAGATGAGCTTTAGTATTCTCTTTTGCTTCTGCATTAGTGACCACAATTTTTCCAAGAGTCTTCCAGGACCACGCCCTGCTCATCATCAGAGATTGAAATGCCGGCTCTAAGTGCTTCGTATTGAGCAATTAAACTCAAACCGCATCAAAGGAAATGCAGGCCTGTGCCCGCGCCCTGGTACTTAGCGTACATAAGCAATCTGAACAGGTGCAGAGGAGATCTTCCCAGACTTGAAAAATCCTCCGGCTGTTTCTGTCTGCATTTGCATCTTTTTTGTGTGTGTGTGTTTGATGAGGGGAATAGGGAAGAATGTCTATATATATAAAACTTTTGGATTCCGAACCAGACTTCAGGGATACGGTATGAGGAGGAAGTGCACGTCGCCAGAGGACGACCCGGTTTAACCCTGGTAAAGGGACCATCCTTGACCGACGTCTCCCTGGCTTGTCCGTCAGCACCGCCCCCTCTGCAGCCGGTCCCCACCTTCAGGATGGAAGGACAATGCCGAGACAGATGCGTGCCTCTCTCTGTGAGCCTCGCCCACCAGTAAATGGGCTCCCTGCCATGTGACTCGGGCTCTTGTTACATTTCCTCCTTTCTAGAGCCTTGGATCTTACGCACCAAGGTCACGGGTGCCCAAGTCACCGCCAGACCGGTCCCCTTTGTATGATTATTACCCCAAATCGATGAGTCTGCCTGAAAGTCTTGATGCATCCACAGCTGCCGCACATTCACAGCAACGGCACGGCACACCAGAGTTGGCAGAGAACCATCTACATCAGGACCCCGCGGACAGG